TCGAGGTGGCACCCATTTGCCTTCAGTAGCCTTGGGGCTGTCATGGCGCCTGCGGGCATGTTATTTGATCAGGCTGTTACAGTGAGCACATAATGAAGCTCAAGGTCTGCTAGAAGTTAAACCTCTTAATCCTTAAGGCACAGTAGGAGGTGAATCTTCCACCATTTTGGTGTTAAATTACTGTCATTCCTTGAGTGGCTATGCCCTGCCCCCTTCCATCCTGTTTCATTCCTCCCCTCAGAGGTTTTACTCCCATAATCTTATGGGGTTGCAGAGGGGTGAAGATCCATCTTCTGAAACTGCTTCCAAGATGAGTAGGGGTGTTGACCCTGCCTATCAGGGAGTAAAAACCTCTAAATGCCTAACCTAGGGGCCCCAGGGGCAGGACAGCCTTTTTGCTTCTGCGTCCAAGTTTGATATGGGCTGGAATCCTCACATAACTGTTATCTGGATGTGGAAATGCTGGAACCAGTTTCATAATTTTCTTATGAATCTTCTCAATGATGGAACACCTTTGTTATAGCAGTTTAACTCTATAATGACAAAAGACTTAAAAGACAGGGTTAAATAACTGCAATTTATAGAGATTTCTTTATAATTATTAAAGTCATGATTGATTACATTTGACTTAACATATTAAAGAATGTTAGTTAATTTAATATCTAAGATGCCCCAGATTTCCTTTAAGGCATCTCAGAGTCAGCTGGAGCTACTAAGAACCTTTAGAACTTGTTAAATACTTAAAATCCTGATTAAAGATGAAACTTATTACATTTCTACTGCGTACTGAAATATATTTTTTAGGAGCTTTAATTGGATATATTCAAGCAATCATGAACTGTTTTAATTACTGCTACATGAGATCATTTATTTTCCTTAAACAGGCACCTGAGGTCTTGTATTGCCTCACAAGCATAGGTCTCTCCTGGCTCCAGGTGGGGCTTGTAAGTTACAGGCTTTATTCTGGACAGAGGTACCCAAGTGGCAATTCCTTGTAGCTTAATGGCACTTGGGGTGCTTCGTTGTACCTGACATGGCCCTTCCATTTTGGCTGCACCTGGACTTCAGGGAACCCCTCCTTTCTAGTTTTTAGTAAGACAAAGTCCCCTGATTAGGCAGAGACTTCAGCATTTTCCTCTGTGGGAAAGGGAAACACTTTGTTTCCGTATTCTCAGAGAGCCTTTAGAACTTGACTTAAGCTAACAATGTGGGAAGCTAATCTATGAGCTTCCTCATCAAACAGGAAGTCTGCAGTTAAAAAGGGCCTTCCATACATCATTTCAAATGGGCTAAGTTTTAAAATTCCCTTAGGGCCAGTCCTTATTCTTAGAAGGGTGTTAGGAAAGAGGGGGACCCAGGTTACTGAAGTCTCCTGACATAGCTAAGCAAGTGTTCTCTTTAGAACATGATTTGCTTTTCCCGCCTTGCCTGAGGATTGAGGCCTCCAGGAAGAGTGGAGGCCGATAGTTAATACCCAGAGCAGAAGAAACTTATTGAGTCACCTTGGCAGTGAAGGTGGGTCCATCATCACTCTGTAAGCTTCTTGGTAACCCAAACCTCAGGAGTATTCCTTTGAGCAGAAAACTTGACACATCTATTGCTCTTTCTGTTCTGGTGGGGAAAGTTTCTACCCATCCTGTAAAGGTGACTGTGATTACCAACAGGCATTTCCATCCCTTACAAGGAGACATCTGGGGAAAGTCCATTTGCCAATCTTCCCCTGGATAAGTTCCCCGATGCTGTGTGGGCCAGACTAGGGGTGGGGATATAGGGTGACTCCCTGTGAGACAGGAGGGAAGAGGACAGGCCACAGGCACTCAAGGAATGACAGCAATTTAACACCAAAATGGTGGAAGATTCGCCTCCTACTGGGCCTTAAGGGTTAAGAGGTTTAACTTCTAATAGACTTTGAGCTTCATTCTGTGCTCATTGTAACAGCAGGATCAAAGAAGTTGTCCTCAGGTGCCATGACAGCCCCAAGGCTAACAGCAAAAGGCCAAAGAATGGGCTGTGGCCCAACCCCTGGGAATCCCAGCCCCTTCCCCAGGGCAGTTGGATTGATCCCACCTGTAGGCCTGTGAAGCTACTGAGACCATAGAAACCAGCAACACGGCACCTTTGGCCGCCCCTCTCTCTTTGGAGACTGCCCTCATTCTATCTACGGAATGTGTATCTACTTTTAATCTGAGTACCCAACCCCCACACCTCGTGGCCTTTCTCTTGCCTTTCAATGTATCTTTATGAGTAAATCTACCTTCTCTCAACTGGCTCGCTCTTGAATTCTTTCCTGCGTGAAGCCAAGGACCCAACCAAGACCTGACACCTCACATCTGTTTTCCTGCATCACCTAGGTCATTGTGGGCACAAAGTTCACAGGCCCTAGTGACTTCCTTAACCGTTTGGGACAGTCCCTTGCCTAGGAACACTTGAGAAGTTAGCCTGAGCATGGAGTCCCACCCTAGGTGTGTGGCCTCAATGTAGATGCTTAATTATTTTCCGTTGTTTGTCCCCAGGAATGAGGAGCTTATTATCTCTTTTGTCAGCCACCCCGGGATTCTACTCTAGCCCCCTATGTTTAGCCCACTCGACCTCTTCAGGTGTAGAGGATGGCGCCATTGGGAGAGGCTGGTCCTCAGGTGGGAGAACTGCAGCTTGTAAGACCGGCTGTGCTCTGGCTGCAGCTTCGGCACCTTGTCTGTGAGGGCGTTTCCCTTTATAAGGGAACAATCGCCCTTTTGGTGTCCCCTGCAGTGTATGACTGCAACCTCTTTAGGAAGCCAGACTGCTTCTAGGAGGTTTAGAATTTCTGCCTGGTGGTGGATGGGGGACCCTTTGTCTGTCAGCAGTCCCCTTTCTTTCCATATGGCAGCATGGACATGTAACTGAGGAATCCATATTTAGAATCAGTAAAGATATTGGTTCTTAAACCTTTTCCTAACTGGAGTGCTCTTACTAAAGCAATTACTTTAGACTTTTGTGCAGAAGTCCGGGAGGGCAGAGCTCCAGACTCAACGACTGTCTGTAGGTTTGCTATAGCGTAACCGGCTCACCTTGTTCTGTTGTGTATAAAGCTGCTGC